TCTTGGCTTTACAGTTTTCCATGGCATGGTTAGTGTTGTTTGATAGTATCCTGGTATGCACATATGACAAATGAACGGCTGTGTGCTTTCATATACTACTTTAAACATTTGAAAAACATGGAAGATACTAACTTGCAATATACAACTCAAATACTCCAAAACAGATCTGGTAGACTCAGAGCTACTTGTCATATAAGGCACTAAGTAGTTCCCACTAGGGGTGTTGAAGTGATTGACAATGTCTAGTCTTTAAAGAGACATAGATTAACTCAGTTATACTCTCTGAGGCCTAATGGTTTGGCAGACTGATGATGCTGCAAGAAGCTCAGACATAATGTAATTGCCTCTTTCGCTTTTTTAATACATATCAGCAATTACATGTTAAGTAATGTACTAAGTAATAATCTGTCCTTTTCTCCCAGTCTTAATGTGACCAGGTATTATCCTGTACAAAATTCTTTTTGCTCTTAAAGGTTGCAAATTTGCTTTGTGTCAAACTGAGATCCTTGTTCTCTTCTTCTAGTATATTGTGGTCCGTACAAACCCCTGTTATGTTCGCTGTTATTAGGGGAAATACTAGAACAGAATAAATTAATCCCTGGGAAAACGTTAGTAACGTTGTCCACTGCGTAATTTTGCTTCACACACAACCAAAGTCAACTTGACCTCTACAATGAATAGGTCATTACAAGAAAACAATTTGTACAATCTCCTACTATCACAGGTTGGAAACAAGGTAATTCCTTCCAGGTTAAAAGTTTTCTCTCTTATTGGTATTGGATCTTCACTTTATGCTCAAGGCAGGAGAATTTACTCTCCACCACAAATGCTTTTTCACTTTCTTACTACTCTTGCTTTGTCTATAAGACTGCTCAATATAACCTACAGAATTGTAAAAAAATTCTCTCTTTGTTGAAACTAATTCTAGAATAAGTAACAGGTCTATAAGGTGCAAATAAGCAGTGGAAATTACAGTGGAATCTACCTCCCAGGCAAGATTTTCCTCAAATTCTTATATTTCATAACTCACTTCAAAGTTTTTCTCTATCTGCTTATGTCACTGTCGAGGTCCACTAGACATTCCTTTGTCTTCTTCCCATGGTAGTGAAGAAACAAAGTACTTAATTTTACAGTGCTACCTTTGTAGCACTGGAGAACCATAAGGTAGGCTTCACTTGTCAGGTGGATTCCTCCGTTTGGAGAAAAGAATGACTTCTGGTACAAATAGGACCTTTTGTCCTTCTTATATATTCTGAGAATGCTTTCCAGAAATGTTAAGACAACAGTTGAATGAGATTGCCAGGGTTTTCCATAATGCAGGAACCAGACAACAATTCATTCAATGACATTTCCTTACACTTTTTCCTTTCATAGAAACACAGAATCAGAGAATGGTTTGGGTTGGAAGGGAGCTTAAAGATCATCTGGTCCAACCCCCCTGCCATGGGCAGGGACACCTTCTACCAGAGTAGGTTGCTCACAGCCCCATCCAACCTGGCATAGAACACTTCCAGGGATGGGGCATCCACAGCTTCTCTGGGCAACCTGTGCCACTGCCTCACCACCCTCACCGTGAAGAGTTTCTTCCTAATATCTCATCTCAATCTTCCCTCTTCCAGTTTAAAGCCAGTAATCCTTGTCCTATCGCTACAAGCCCCTGTAAAAACTCTTTCTCCATCTTTCTTATAAGTCCCCTTTATATAATGAAACACACGTCATTGATGAAGATATTAAATACTGTTGGTCCCAGTATGGACCCTGAGGGACACCACCTGTTACTGGTTTCCACTTGGACATTGAGCCATTGAGTATAACTCTTTGGATGCGGCCACCCAGCCATTTTCCTATCCATCTAACAGTCCATCTGTCAAACCCATCTCTCTCCAATTTAGCAGCCAGAATGTTGTGGTGGACGATATCAAAAGCCTTACAGAAGTCTAGATAGACTACAACCATAGCTCTTCTGTTGTCTAGTGATGCAGTTATTCCATTGTAGAACATCACCAGATCAGTCAGGTGACTAATACTCCATAGTAGAGCGAGGAATATGTGCTAGGCATATCAGTGCAGCTGGAATCCCTCTATAGAAGGAATGGGGAGAAACTGAGCCTCCAAGTGGAGCTTACCCAGGTGAACAGCATTGCTTCTTTCCAGAACCCTTAATAATTTGCATTGCTTTACCTCTCAGGCATTTGCATTGATGGATCCTATGACAGTACTGCTAAAAAACGCATCTCGGTCATTACACTGGCTAACCTTTGTTCCTACTGCTTATTCTCTGTTTCAGCATAATGCTGTTAAACAGTCCTTTTATCATTACAATTTTCACAAAAAAAGTCTTTATTATCTTTTGAAAAGACATCTTTGAAAAGATACTCATTCTCACCCTCAGAACAGATATTTCATCTCCTCCATCACTTGCACATTTATTGGTTAATGTTTTAGGTTTACAAGTGAAATTGAATGTGTTTTGGCCAAACCCATATTAAGATTAATCCCTCTGATCATATTAAACTTCAATTCCCTGTCCTCTTTGGCCACCACAACTCCTGCATCCCATGTAATCTGAACTATTTCCCAAGGCCTGAAACACACCTTTTCCCTCACCCACTTCTAAACTTCCCTGTGACTCTTGCGAGTTCAAGAACACACTTTCACTTGTCATGTCCCCTCTGTCTAAAACTTATTTCCTCTTCTCCCTAAGCCACTGAATCATTTCTTTAAATCTCACCTTAAAACCTCCCTGCTCTCTTTAACCTATGATTCACAACCTCTGGAAAACATTTTTGTGATATTCTTTATGAAGCATGTACAGTAAAAAGGAAATTTATTGTAGTCTTGTTGAAGCAAGCTATACTTGGAAGTACTAAAGTGACTGTGGATTAAGGGTCCTATAGAGTCCACTCAAGATCGATTGACCCTTGCAGATTCTATTGAAGTCTGAGTATTTACATCCACTCAACTGAAAACCTCATACCTACACCCTTGCAGGCTTATAGGTGGTTGTCTTTCTTCTTGGGTTTGAACTCATAGATTTACTCCAGATGTCAGGTGACACCACTGAGTTTTGCCCAGCTTCAATAAGGTGCCTATTCTGAGCCCAGTAGAACTGAATAAAAGGATGCAGTTCTCTTATCTCTCTTTCCAGTGACCAGTACCATTTCCCTCATCCCGATTTTAAATACTTTCCAAAGACAGCAGCAGTAGAAATGAAAAAATCACAGCACTCCTCTGTAGATACAACTAAACAAAGGAAGAAAATTTCATCATTGTTTCCTTATCTAAGCAGTCTGCGATAGATGGCAGATTCAGGTGTCTATTATAAAATCTGAGCAAGACAAACAATTTGATCTTAGATTAGCTCTATCAGATTCAATGAGAGGATGCAGGGAGGCAAACTCACTAAGGCAGATGGGCTACACGGTGAGGATGAGCTCTAAGAAAAGATATGTGTGAAAATTAGTAGGATGGTGTGGCACAAACCATATCATCCAGAAACTCATATGAATGGTACCTATTTATAAGGCTGGTATTCCTTCCCATTCACAATGCACTCATCATTGTAGCAGGTAATTTTCTGTACTGTTGTTGAAAAGGCAATTTAAATCTAGCTTTTTTTTTTTGCTCAGCTAAGCATTTTATACTCATGGTCGGTTTTATGCTTTAGAATAGTCTTGGGATGGAACTTTTTACCCTTTTTATTTAACTGACACTTGCTTGAATATATTTTTTTTTTATTTTCAAGCCTTTTCTACTGGTCAAAGCACTAGAAATGGAAGAAGAAAACTCCAGTTTACATTCACGTGGCTCCCAGAGTTAAGACCTGAAGAAAACATTCTAAATATTTAAGGCTTGCAACACATTTTTCAATGTTGATAATATGTTTTGGAACATATTAAATTGTTTGCATGCATAAAGACATTATACATGTGCACGCACATTTTCTGCATATAGGAAATCACAGAGGTAGAAACACAGACACAAATGTTGATGTACTACTGTTAACAGCACATCACTGCAACCTGGATGGTAGCACAGGGATACAAGCAAAACCTTTTTGTCTCCTGAGTGATTACTGGTATATGAGAGGACAGTGTAAGAGGAAACAGACTTTGCAAAAGCGGGTACAGATTCAGTGGAGTTATTTTCATTTGACATGCAAATATGGTTGTTTATGGCCAAATCTTTTCGACTGCTGTCTGTCTCTGAAAAGTATACAAGCTTTAATTGAATTAGCAGTCAATTTTGATAAAAATACTGTTATGCAAATCTATTTCTAACAAAAGCTGCTGTGAACAACAGCTTTCAGATTTGTTATTCTGTCTTTACAGACCTACAAGTGGGGAAAAACACAAACTGAGAGTATGAAATGAGGATTTCATTAATACCGCATTGTACCAGAGAGTACAGCAATACTTAGTTTGTGTATGAGGGGTACCTGAATAAGGAAAAGAGATGAATTAAAAATATAAATGCCCAAATCCTTACTTTTATTCTGGAGCCCTCGGTCTGTAACCATCAAACCTGCATTTCTTACCCTGTTCTTATACTTCATTTTCAACTCCGACTATAATTTCTAGGAGGGATATACATAACAGATAGGCACTCCAGCAATGATGGTTAATAACAATAACAAGTAACTATAATAAATCATGGATCTGTTGGGGAGGTTCAGTGTATGTAGGAAAGTTATGGCTAGCCTTTATTCTAGCTCTAAATCTCTGCAATTATGAGGATGCTATAATTCTTTAAACTGACTTCATTTCTTGAAAGTTCATATTGTCATGTAGTTCGTGATCATATTGACTTTCAACTTTTGTATGCTGTTACCACTTAATTATTGCAGGTGTCTCAAAAGCATAATAAGCAAATGTAAAATATTACAGAAGAAAATTAAACCAAGATAAGATTTCTATTTGATTTATAAGCAATAGAGTTTGGAATACACTTTTTTTTTTAAACATGCACATCAAAGTAAGTAAATAAAATTAAATACTCACTCCTGTTATGTAACGAGGTCTATACTGGATGGTTCCAAATAAGCCAAGTATGACTATAATAATGTGTATAAAATTTGCCAGGATGGGTGCCCACTGATAACCAAGGAAGTCAAATATTTGCCTCTCGAGCACAGAAACCTGTGATTAAAAAGCAAAAGCACAAATAGATTAGAACAGACCAGAAACCATCTATTAGGTCATTTCCCCTTCCACACCCAAGATAATTGCCCTCAGTTAAAAAATACTTCAGTCAGCAGTAAAATGAAATGAGTTTGCAGTGTTTCACCTTCTTATTTTAATGAAAGCTGCATCTCTCACTGACAGTTTACTGCGTTACATTCAGTTAGCTAAAATATTCATGTGGGCAATTCTACCGAGATACTAAACTGTTGACTCGGAGAGTATGTTTGCAGGAGGAGAAACACAAATCATTTTGTTATATACACCAGCAAATGTTATAATGTTCTAGGGTATCAACGCTGAAAATAAGTGGTAGGCTTGCAACATCTTCTCAGCTACTTTGCTTCCATCCACAAACACCATCCTTCAGCCTAGTCCTTTCTCTTTACTTCCATTATGTCCCTACCTTTTGATTTTTTTTCTCTTCCCGCTATCCCCAGCTATCCTGTCAGTGGGCTTTTACCTGTAACCAAATGCATGAAACTTTTTGACATCGTTCTACTGATAAGGACTCCAGTTTATCTCCTCCCACTGTCACAAACATCAGCTGAAGTATAAGCTGTTAACCAAGACTCTAGATACTTAATTTTAAAAAGTGAATTAAAGGACAACCTTGGGCTATTGACAACTGTTTTCAAGCAATACTGTTCCAAGCAGATAGATAAGAAAGAAAAAAACCCTGCATTTGTAACAGTATCAGTAGAAATAATTTCAGAATTCAAATAGCAGGTGTCCCTTAACTGGTGTTCGGACATTACATTAAAATACAGCACTGCACCCTAGTACATAGGCAGAATGGCATGTTTTGACAAAAATAATATTGATGTGAATATTAGAAGGCAATGTAATGGTGAAGCGAATTTAGACAGAAAAGGTAAGGAGTTTCTTTGGACACCATTCCAACAATTTCACTAACTGGAATGGTGAACAGATGAGTTTCATGAAAATGCAAATAATAAAAAAAAAAAGAAGATTAATAATAATAGTAATGATGATGATGACAACAATGCCAACACCACACACAAAAGAAAGAAAAAGCAGGCTGTTTCTTTATAAAATCTCACTACATGACAGGTGACTATTTACTCAGTTTATGTTACGCTGTGGATTAATTGAATTATGTGAATCTGCCACACCGTTCACTTAAAAAATAACACCTTTCGAGATCAAGTACTAACTGGATAATTAACTATTGTTCACCACCGTTCTTGCATGATATAGCTATTGGAGAGTTTTTAAATTTTTGTGCCACAGTCCTCTGCCACACCAACCCTTTCTTTTTGAAATTAAGTAAGAAAACTTGCCACTAAAAAGACAGCCTACACTTACACCAGCATTGTGAATATACTGGCATATACTGAACTTTAACATAGGGATTGTGAAAATAACCCTGGAGAAATTTGTCAGCCACACAATTTTGAAAGTTCAGGGTTTCCTATCAACGACTGAATTCTTCTCTGCAGCAAAGATTCCCTTCACACAACGCATCCAGCTTATAGCCAGTCTTTGTATTTTTGCCTACCATTTTATTTTACAGGTTTATTGACAGAAAGAGATTCTGGTCTTACATCAGCCAAGATCTTAATGAACCGATTTGTGCTATCCTACAATTCTCCCTAGCAAAGCAACATCATAGAAGAGTTCCCAGAATCCCAAGACATAATATTCTAATGGTGACAATGTGATGAAGAAAGAAAAGGAAGGCCAAGCTGTATTAGGAACTTCCTGAAATCTCAGACTGCCTGTGCCTCTAAGTTTATCATTCAGAAATATCTCCTTGACTACTGACATAGTCATTTATGTAAAAAAGACCAACATGTGGCATAAAGTTGTGTTATGTAGGTCTGTGTGAAGTCTATTCGGGGTACCAGCAAAAGACCTGCTACACCTTAGGTGCTGTTAAACAGGTAACAAAGGGAAAATGCTCACTGAGCACAGAGCTCTTATTTTCATCAGCTAAACAAAGAGTAAATGAGAATAGCAAAGCAGTAGCAAAAAGAGTCTAGACTACACAAGCTTCCAGTATAGAAACAGTAGGGATTCAGCAAGTAAAAAAATACATGGGATAACGCAAATCATTGAACCAGTAGGAAATCATACAGTTAAGTATGCCAATTATAGAGGAAAATTGCAGTATGGTAGTTAATTATATAAAAAAGTAGAAAACCTGATATTCCTGAAATCTTTAGGTTAAAAGGAAACTGCACCATGAATGCATCAAGTACCTTTTGTTTTGTTGGGTTGTTTTTTTTTGTGAAAGATGCAGTAGTTCCACCAAAACTTGTTTATGGGGCTGTGCTGGATGTATGGCTATTCTGTGTGAATCTTCACTTCCCACACACCAATGTGCTGCTTTGTTTTTTGATAACTAGCAATTTCTTCAGTACCAAGCAACCACTCCCTCAGATTTTGTGGCCACACTGAAACTTTCAGTGAGGGGACCTAGCAGAAAACATGGCACACAAGGCAGTGGGTAAATATTGGCTGTGCAGAACAAGGAGACAAGTCTGCACTACCTCTGTCCCTGTGTATCTACCTCATGTTTGCCATAGGCAGACTTGCTATTAGACTTTCTCCTGTCACTCCAAGGAATCAGCTGTGTGGGTGGACTGCTGGAGATGTGAAATGGCAGCCTTCTGGTAGGCTGTGTGGAGATAAAATGCTGCGGAAATGCAGCTGCTGTTCTTTAGAAGATCAGAGTATCGCACCAAGGTGCATCACAGATTTATCAAATGGAAAATATAGGGCAGAACCAGATCTTTATTCCCACTTCCTGAAGAGATGAAGGTGGAAAGAAAATAAAAAGCAACCCACAAACAAATAGAAGAGTAATACGGACTTTCTACATGCAGTTACTTTAAAAAAATCTCATTGGGTCTGCGTTTCTAAAAGGGGAAAAATGAAAAGTAGGACAAAGTACTGACAAAATCTATTAAAAACAGTATTATGTAGCTGCCTCCTCTTCCACAGATGCCAGAATCATAAGGGATTTCCTTACATAGCAAGAGAAAATATAGATCTGATTTTGAAAGGATGTTTTTTTCCTTTACTTCAAAAACTTAAATTTTTTGGTTAAACAACTGCATGTCTTTCTCCCAATCACATCCACCAGCTTCAAATATTTAATGTTTCAAGAACATTACAGAAAGAAAGGAAAGGACTGTCAAAGAAATATTAATCTTTAAAGTCCAGGAATAGATAAAGAATTGTTTGCTTGCTTTCTTTTTCTTCTGGAAACAAGAGTTTAAAATGAGAACAGGAAAGAGGAAAAATGGATGCTTTGGATGAAAAAGTACACTATGGTAAGAAAAGAAAAATATGTTTTAATTTAACTCCATTTTATTAATGCAGTGAACCCAAAATGTAAGGTTATAAAGAGTCAGTTCCTAACGTTAGAAAATAAACATCCACCACACTGTCTTAGGCTTCCAAAAAAAAAAAAAAAAAATCATAGACAGATTAGCATATGTAATCACTAATAAAATTATAGAAGAGTTAAGTGTAATTACAGTGAACCACTTTTACTAATGCCTTATTTTTTTCCAGAGTTCTACTAACAATTTTAAAAATAAATACAAAATAAAAACAGCCTGTATATTGTCAAGTTGGAATAGCTCAAACTATTTCCAGATTCTTGTCAGAGGCTGGTTGTTAATAGGTTAACAGTGTTATTGACCTTGAGGGATCTAAGAATTGAATTTCCAGAGGATAAAGAAAACCATTTTGAGATGATTCTTAAAGTATATGATTGGACAAAAATTTCAGACAGGAACCACAAAGGAGAAACCAGTCAAAAAATGATTTATAACACAAACTCCAAAATGGAAAATGACAAAGTGCCTTTCTTCAGAAAGCTCCTTGAGAAGAAACTCAACCACGACTACTTCACAATGATACAGAATCAAAACCTTGCACTGATATAAATTAAAGTGCACACAGGCACTCACACGTCAGCGAGTATGTACGGCCCCTTTGGACAGCACAGAGGCACCCAGTACGCTGGGGTCTGGGGCAGGGTCACACTCAACTGAGGGACTCCCCAGCTAAGCGATGGTAACAGGCTCTCCATTCACCCCAAAGGAAGGAGAGAGTATTAGCTTAAATCGCAGTGAAGGAGAATTAAGCAACCATGGTTTATATCATGAGTGGTGCAGGCTAAGAATGAGCTACAGAAATTAAGCTCTAATCAGTAACTCATTAAGTCCCCTCAGCTCAATTGTGCTGCCCACAGCTTCTAATCATTTGCTTGTGTTTTTAAGTTAGACACATAGTTTTTTAATGACTTTCAGTTCTTGGTTCTATGGCACAGAAAGTTAAAAAGAGCCCAATAAACACCAGTATTTTGGGCCCATGGCTTATGAAAGAATTCTAATGCTAAAGCCTACCTGCGTCACCTACAACATCCCCAGCTAACCCTCCCCCAGCACTTCCATCGTTTTGAGGCAGAATGCATATATTTCTGCCATTCCTTGGAGAGATTCATTTAATTTTTCATCAAAATTTCAGATAGTACCCTGAGATAGAGGGCCCAGTTACTCAACAAATTATCCACAGTTACCCAGCAGAAAAACAGGGTAACATTTTGAAAGTCAAATCCATACAAAATACACCTACACATTTGCAAGTGTGCACATACATTTGAGACAAGTCCTTTACTGCAAGATGGCAGGGAAAGAAAAAGAGATTTGAATTTTTTTTGTAAGAAAGGCAAAACTAAAATGAAGTTCTGTGAGAAGCAGTGGACAGAATGGTATTCTCAGTACAACTAATAAAAACCATCACAAGCACAGATAATTCAAGTTAAAATCAAGAAGGAATTAGTTTCTACTTGTCTATTGGCTCCTTAAAGGAATCACATATACTAAGCCCCTGTCCTTAATCCATTTAATGTTACTGAGAGAAGGAATAAGCCTTCACGACACTTGATAAGAAGCTAATCATAGTTTTTAAAAATTCTGTGTAGGACCACATCCCTGCACCGTATTGTGTACAAGTGGATTTCTGCTGTGACCTACTGAGAACAACAGGGTTCTCCATAGGTACAGAGTGTATTCCAAGTCTCAGCTGCTGCCTTCTGTTGGGGTTTAACCCCAGTCAGCAACTCAGCACCACGCAGCCACTTGCTCACTCCCCCACAGTGGGATGGGGGAGAGAATTGGAAGGGCGAAAGCGAGAAAACCCATGGGTTGAGATAAAGACAGTTTAATAGGTAAAGCAAATGCTGTGCACACAAGTAAAGCAAACCAAGGAATCCATTCCCCACTCCCCATGGGCAGGCAGGTGTTCAGCCATCTCCAGGAAAGCCGGACTCCAGCACACCTAACGGTGACTTGCGAAGACAAATGTCATCACTCCCAACGTCCCCTCTTCCTTCTTCTTCCCCCAGATTTTATTGCTAAGCATGATGTCATACAGTATGGGATATCCCTTGGGTCATTGGGGTCCCGGCTGTCCCAGCTGTGTCCCCTCCCAACTCCTTGTGCCCCCCCGGCCTCCTCGCTGGTGGGGTGGGGTGAGAGGCAGAAAAGGCCTTGGCTCTGGGTAAGCCCTGCTCAGCGATAACAAAAACATCCCTGGATTATCAGCACTGTTTTCAGCACAAACCCAAAACACAGCCCCAGACCAGCTTCTGTGAGGAACATGAACTCTACTCCAGCAAAAACCAGCACACTTCTCTAACTGAACATAGTAATAATAAAAAACTGGTAAAGACAAGATTTCTACAGTAGGTTTTCTGTTATGTAGTAATAAGAAGCAGAACTGTTATCTAAATAACACTTCAGTTATTATTACTCATGACATGAAAATAAGATTCTAGCCAAAGTTGAGCTGGTGACGCTGACAGTTGGTTTAAATAAAAATGACTTACTGTGTACTGAACATATCTTTAGGGTATTATATTCATGATTTATAAACATTTAGACTCTACCATACATACATGGAAACCCAATGACTCAAACAATAACAAAATCAAACTCCTGTCTTCCAAGTACTTCCCTGAAAGAATCACCTCCTGTGTGAGCAGGCAGTAAAAAAGAGGAAATTGCTGGCAAAATGCTTGATCAACAAGTTCTATTGTTGCAAAATACTTTCTCCACACAAGTTATGAAACACCAATATCCATGAGAGACAAATGATGAAAAAAAAATGGGGGAATTCCCTAATTTTACACTGCATGCTTTGGTATTTTTAATACTGCTTCCTAAAATTATTTTTAGAATAGCCTTATAGGAACCATATTGCTTGAATTATGATAAAAAAACTAAATAAGTCTTGCTTTTAAGACATGTAAAATTTTGAAACCTGGAGCAAATACTTGAATTCATGGCAACATTTTACATAGCTACATAAAGCTGTATAGATAATTGTGTCTCAGATGTCTACAGGTTTTTTTTACTGTACAAGACAAAATTCACCCTTGCTAATAACTTAAAAGAACAACAAAAATCCAGAATTTGTGAGGTATGGTAGATTTCAATGCTCTTGAAACAAGAAGAGTTTTTCAGTTCATTCATTTCTCTTCAGAGCAAAGTTTTATATACAACTGCACACTTGATTCAAATAACTAGCTTAAAAAAATTGGGGTCTTAAGTTCGTGCTACAATTTAGATTACAAATCTTAACATCACGTTACAGCAAATTTTTTGCTTGTGCGTGCATGTGTGTATGTTTTAAGACTACAGAGTTTCTTGTTTCTGGCTGGCCAACAGTAGCAAGACTTAGATATGTATCAGAATCATATCCTTTTGCATGCCTGAAAGAAAATTTGAAAAATCAATCTCATGTAAACTGTTCTACTCATGAGTCTAAATATCATGAAGTTAATATTTCAGCTATAGGATTAACTTGAGTAATAGTAATTTAGAGGTGCTAAGAATTTTAATCCCTGTGAAGTATTTTATTTCCTGTTCATGAACACTTGTAATAAAAATTTGTTCATTATTTTAATAAGACATATTTGCTCTCCACCAAAACCAGGAATACAAGGATTGAATGTGCACAAAAAA